TCACCGAGGCGGACGGACCGGTTCTCTGTGGGCTGAGACTCGACACTTTGCAGAAGGATGGAGGTGAAGATGCTCGTGTTGGTGCTCGCCGCTCTGGGTAAGTCTGTGTGTGTCTCAGCACAGTCAGAGGTTAAAGCTGAACGCAGGTCGGGTCCTGCAGCAGCTCCGCTGTCTTTAAAACAGAAACTATGCTTCAACGTCAACGCGGCGACTTGTCCCAGACATGAACCTGAGCTTAGTGTGCAGGAAATGAAGATGAAGATAACTGCTCTGGTTTCTGATTGATGGAAAACGCTCAGATATTTTAGTTGATCAAATATTTACTTCCTGTGCTGAGCGTCAGCTGCGCGTCGTCACCACGGCCTGCCTTCATCGTCCTCATCAGTGTTGTTCACATGTGGCTGCTGTGTCAGCTTCTTAAAACAGTTTAAACTAAACGAGGCTGTCGTCACTGAACTCCACCGTTGGCACATTTCAGACTCGATGGTCTCGATCCTGCAAGCATGTTTAGACGATGTTGAGGTCAGCTCGTCCCACGCCTGCGCTGACCTCTGCTGACCCGCTGAGGTCACCTTCTAACTGACATGTCTGCTGCAGCGACGCTCACTTAGTGTCAGCAGATTTATGGGCAACCTTCAAACATTCATCCCACAAACAGAAACGCTGGACTTCTGTCTGTGGATGTTTCTGTAACACCGTTACTGGTTTCATTAACCAGCCGTTAATCGCTCACCGTGACCTGTTTACAGCTTCAGCCTTCACACCCAAACACCGGAAACCTCATCAGCAAGACTCAAACAAAAACAGCCGAACAGAAGCAGAGATCGCTGCATGACTAAAAACAGTTTATGAGAGAGGCGGCTCAGACTCTCGTTTAAACGAAGTCGGGTTGCTGTTTGCACTCAGGCTGCAGACATGATGTTTAAGTCATGTTCAGTCTGTCGTGTTGAGCTTGACTTTGAGCTGATATTAGACCAGCGAGGCGGTGACGCCACGAGTGCTGATGGGAAGGAAAGATTTCATGTGAATTTCAAGCTGCTGCTCTGAGCCACGTGTGACCATCATTAAAGATCAGAACCAGCATTGTTAGAAAATCACTGTGAGGCTTTAATCTGATGAACATATTTGATTTATAAGCGTTTTAACTGTGATCAGAGCGTGTATCCATGCAGGCCAGACCTGCAGGTACCTGAACCACAGGCACAGACAGATGAACGCCGTTAGGTGTGACAGCCGTGCGATGCTCGT